CTATCCACATCCTTTTACACCATGTCATATACCATTCAAAAGAGAATTGTCTGCACTACAAAGAGCTATGCTACACTTTCACCGTTGTTTAGGGTTTAGGCGTGCGAAATGGGAAGTCTAGGCGAAAATTAACCAAACCGACAACTAGCCCTAACTTTATCTACCCTCAGGAGAAATCAATCAATGATGTACTCTCTACTTACACGTGACCTCTTCATAACATTCTACTATTAGGTTCCCTAAGAAGTCGCGCCGCTCCTTTTCCAGACCTGGTTCTTCAACCCGAAATCGACGGTCGAGCACGATTACATGAGATCCGGCACGAATTTTTTTACAGCCGAAACACTTAAAATTTAGTTGAATTTCGAAAACAAGTCATGGCTAAGTTAGGAATGTAAGCTTGGTTGATTTTCTCATCTTCTCATTGGTAATTTTTTTTACAAAGAAATGCGGTCACTTTCGTGGATAAAACACCTTATTCCCAAACACCTAAAATCGAACTGATTCCCAACAAACATAAAAACAAAACAAATGGGCGAATAGAGTAGAAGTAGTGCTCACAAAAGAAACACTACTTGTTATGGAACAATGGCGTTTCAGAAGAAGAATTTCAATTTAAAAATTTCTATGGTTTATCAGTCAGAAAATTCGAAAAGAAACACGGCAAAGCTTTTTTGGCAACCTAAGGGCGGTTGTTTAGAAGAGGTCGTGAGTAAGCAGAAGGTACATCGTGCGGTCATTGAATGATCCCCCCCCCCCAAGGGGAGATAATCTTAGGGCTAGCTGCCGTTTTGGCAATTTTTCCTCTACTGGACCTCCCATTTCGCAGACCTAAAATTCGGAAACCCTACAACAAAGGTGGAGGAGATACAAAACATCTTGTAGGGCAGATAATTCTCTTTCGATTGGTATATGACATGTTGTCAAAGCATGGGGATTTAGAAGAAAATTTTTAGTTTGAAAAAAAAACGACACTACTTATGAGACAACCTAATACATATTATCCTGCCGATGGTTTCTACCCATTTTTAATTACTGGTGAGGTGCTGAAGTGACAACGGAACTTTTTTTTTGTTCTCGACCAAATAAACAACGAACCCACTTCAAATTTATATACATATTTTGTACACGGACAACTCTAGAGTAATAGTAAGAAAAATACGATTTTTCCAGAAAAATCGTCAAAAGTTTGGAAACTCCGAATTTCCAATGAGTATGCAGCACAACAGCTCTCTAATCCGCATGAAAACACAAACTTGCTACTCAACTGTATGATTCTATTACGCCAGCGTTTTTATTGACATTGAATAGACTGGAACATCATTTTGTGACTCTTGAGTCGAAGTCTACACTTCATGAAATAAAACAAATTGCCCCGTGGGTTTCTTCAATGGGGTTTGAAGTATACGATAACGAGCTCTACCCTGAAGTGCACAACTCAGCTAGAACTAAGAACTTGATTTGGCCTCTCCGTAGCCACCTTTCTGTGAGTTTGAGAAGGCGGCAGTGATAGCGTCGGCCTGCATTGGATCATTGTCCTAATAGAAAACCCAATTTTTCACCTAGTTCTGGCTTTCGAAGGAAAGTATTGTATTCTGCTGACTACCCTCGTTTTTAGCCCAGCCCTTATTTCGCTCGATACTAGGAACTGGTAAATCGCCGTATAGTTCGATTTCCCTTTTCCATGGCAAAACGTCCACTTTTTCTGACTATTGAAATACGCTTCACAACGCCTGCAACTTCATTTCCAAGGGTGGAGTGTCGACTTGTCGCTGTGAACAGTGCTCTACTTCTTGCCTTTAATCCAGACCAAGCGCTAACTTGCAGAAGCTAGTCACACCTTCTATCTCCTGAAGCTCAAGGAAGTTTTCCTGTTGGATTATTTCCGTCCGCAATATTTGCCAGATTAAGACCTATACAGGGTAGCACTATAACTTCCATTCGGCTCAGAAAAGAAGCAAAAAAAATTTTTTTGTTAGTTGGGGATGTTACGGGAGCGAGACGAGACGACCACTCTTTGAAGTTCTCTGAAAATGCCAGTTCTCGTAAGGGTTGTAAGGTTGTACTTTGTGCAGGGCTTTCTACTCAGGCTCCACCCTGATAATACTGAAAAATCTTGACAGTAGTGCAGAGAAATTGAGCTACTGAGAAAAACCTTTCTGTTTCGCGCTGTGCGAATAAGACAAACCCCTTCTATACAGAAATGCTTCTTTTTTACGTGAGAATTCATTTGAAAATCATATAATTCTTGATTAGCAAGTTAATTAAATAAACAACTTTTGAATTGACAATAATTTTGGTAAATATTAAATTAATAAAACATGCAAACATTGAAGAGTTGGAGTTATAATGATGAGAGGAACCAAAAATCTGCGGTTTTGTTATGATTTCGTAACTTCTATTTCGAATGACTATAACGCGTATCGTATTCAAGCTCGATTTTGACGTATATGTGAAGTTGAGGCAATTTCGTTCTTTATTGGCTGCGCAGGATCAAAAATAGAAAGGATTTCAAGTTACCGCTACTATACACCTAATGTCACCTAGTAGTACAAGCGTTATAACACATCGGTTCACCACGACCTTTGCCTTTGATACAAGTTTCTAGTGGCTAAAAAGTATAGGACGCGACATTGACCATTAGCAGGCACTGAGCTGTAGAGTAGAAGGAAAGTTCTGCAACACTCTTTTTCAAATACTTTGAGAGGCTCCCTAAGAAGGTAGCAGCACCTCGTACTTTCCATTACAGGTAGGGCTGCCGCGGAAGATCGACTGCAATTTCTTCGCTATGTGCACCATTGTGGAGGTTAAGATCCATGCTACAGAGACTGAAAGAGGCAGCTTGTCAAAAGCCCTCGTTCGGCGACAACGTTTATATCATTCATGTCATTGCGAATCGCCATGTTTTGAAATAACCCGTTAAGAAAGTTGCGACGAGATTTCTCAGCTCACTTAGCGTATTTCCCTGGTCAAACCCTAAATGGTTAGCACCCATTCTGGACCCTCACTCATCACTTTTATGACGAAATATTTGGACGAGCAACTCGAATTCGATTGCATGAAGGCCTGCTTTTTTGTGCCGCGTTCTGGCGAAGGAGCATCAAGAAAATTTCTAAGCATTGAAGACAAGTAGTGGACACATATGGAGGATATGCGACTGGTTAGGAGTTGTAAACAAAAAAAGATAAAATTAAAATCAAAAATGGGAGAAAGTGTTGCGTAACATTCTTTCCAACCTTATATTTTCGGAACGTTTCAAAACTGTTCAAACTATGAAGCTGTGTAAGAGACCTCATAAGTTGTTTGGTCCAGACCTCATCTGAACTCTTGCTACGAAGGTTTCTCCTCATCGACTCGTTGTCAAAAGGCTGCCCAAGGACGGTCTCCGGAGCAGGGTCGGTCCTACGTTGCTACAAGTAGCAACGGGGGGTCGTATTTTGATGAGTTTTTAGAGGGGGGGGTCGTATATTTTGATGAGGTTGTAGAGGGGGGGTCGTACTTGCTTCGGTTGCAAGAAGTTGCATGAGGTGAGGGAGGAGTGGCGCGGGAGAAAATTTGCCGTTTCAGCGCGCATATATACCCCCCGCTAGGGAATGAAGCGTGGGATTAAAGGTAGGAGGGGGTAAATTGGTGGAAATTTAGGTAATTTTTACGGTCTCAGAGTGACTATATACCCCCCGCTCGACGGCATTTTTGGAGGAAAAAGTGGGCGGAGTTTTCGTGGTTGAAGTGATACCAGAATGAAATACTACAGCGAGGAATATGGTGGTCGAGGGTCGAGAGGGGGGTCGTACCAAATCCACTTTTGGGGAGGGGGGTCATAAAAATTTTTCGAAAAGTAGCAACGATAGGACCGACCCTGCTCCGGAGTGGCGAATTTGCAGAGCGATTCGGTATTCTATCTTCTACACTTCAAAACATCTTCGTTGCTATCGAGGTCCAAGCACTCGTTTGTGAGATCGTGAAAAGCGGAAGGTCAAGAATTGTGCACAGGGCATTCACCTAGAAGAGGACCACTCACAACGGTGGAGCTAGCGTGAGTCACATCGCTATTGATCTCGGGATGTGCCGCCAATCCTACCAATACATCGTGGGAAGTTCTTTTGAAGCAATCCCAATAAAATAGTTGGTTAAATGCAAAAAATTTCCGAGCCAGCCCAAGGCGCGCCGCAGCTCCCCTACGATTTGGAATGATGAAAGAATTTCGCATCAAACTCCTTCGAGGTCGTCAAACCGGAGACACTTGGTGACGAAGAGTGAGAGTGAGTCTCCGAAATAATGTTTGATTATAATAGATTTTCTCTTGAAAGTATGACAGCTTGTGACGGGATAGATAACAGTGAGGCTCCATTGGTGTTCGTCAGAAAATGTTGAAATTGACTCGAAGATCTTGTAAAAGTCTACGTTGGGGCAGGATATGTAGACCCGTGAGCATTCTGCTCAATGCCGTTTGTTACTTAATGAAATTCGGCTCCCCATTACACTTTCAAATCGTGTAAGCCGTTCGAGACGTGCACCTCCTCGGTCACTGGAGTGAGAAATTGTGGCCTTTTTCCTCCCGGCCTCTAACCAGATGCACTTCTCCTTGTGAGGATGTTGTTGGCAAATTCTTGAAAGTTTTCTACAGCTCGGCTGAAGCTCTAAGATTAGCGCTTCAGAAGACGTGGGACGACATAGCCGTTGGATACCTGCGGCGCACTGCGTTTCTGTCGTTTTAGGTCAGAAGGCCTCTGTGAAGGCAGAATCGTCAAAGTTATAGCACCTTTCGGACAAAACGATAATACCGCTCAACCCTATCTTTCCGTAAAATTGGTTTGTTAATCGACTTCCCTTCTTCAATTTACACTCTAAAACATGGCATCCTATACTTTTGAGCCACCGTGTATGTAGGTTGCCTCTGATAGGGAAAACGGGCAAAATCTGCCAGAACGAAAGGAGAATGGAAATTTTTGACCACTTCACTTAGTAACAGTGTTTATTGAGTTCTGAACGAGTGATAGTCAGATCAATTCGAAAAACTTGGTGATGAAATATTGCAAATTCTGAACGAAGTTAAGCTTGCTCTTCAGTATTCGCTGAAATAGTTCGAGACTGAAATCCAAGTACAGTGAAAGAGGTAAAGTGATGCTTCTTAGGTTGATTAGGAACTGATAAACGCTCGAATATCACAATTTCTTCAAACATACTGGAAGGGTTTTCAATACGATTACACAGGAAGGATATCTGTGGCATAACCATCAATAATAGAATGCGAATTTAGTTCGACAGATCTACAACAGTGACATCAATGCGAGATATTCACAGTTTGGATGGGATGCTTTTCATTTGCTGGGATATTGATCACGTTGTATACCTCTGGAGCCGATTAAATTAGAGGGCACTGAAAAATAGACTCGACCAGGTAATATGTATGTTGGCAACGAGGCGATTCTGCAGTTTATTCAGGAAATGCATCCTAATGGTGGAAAGCACCATTACAGGGATATAAAATAAGTTAAGGACCACAGGGAAATCGATTTAAAGGCAAAGATCGGGCTCAGGCACGCTGGAGAAGTAACTCCCGTGCTTGGAGGTTGTATGCGGGTAGCTGCACACATTGCAGCAACACCTTAACTACCCCGTTGAGGCCCCGGTGCGTTCGGTTTCAATCCAGGGCCGCCTGGTCAATCCAGGCCCGCCCACCTCCGGAAGTGGTGCGTGGCTGGCATGACGTGTGAAATCAGCTAGGTTGATTGCCGTATCAACCGAAAGAACGACTGACATCTCCAGAAAACTTGTTTGTACGTGCCCCCCTCCCCAAGTCAGCCACCTTCACTGCTAGTGGGAAAGAGGGTTTTGTTAGCGGCCATGTCGACGGTTTTTCTCAGTTTTTTCTCCACTGTCGTTCCACATCGCATCTCTATACTCAGTTCAATCGCCGTAATACCCCCTTATGGAGCCCGACTTTTGCCTTTAAGGGGTGGCTAATTGTAAGTAGGAAAGAGAAAGAGACTTTCAACTACCGCTGCGACTACGCACCACAGACGACTGATTAGCGCATCCCAGAGCGCGAGGTGAGGGGGGGGGGGGAAGAACACCTCGAGAACGTGCCGTGGATTTATAATATTAAAGCTACGAGTCAGGATTAGGTCCAAAGAGCCAGTCTAGTCCCTTTTAGAGTGAAGAGTTCCCCAGGAGGTGGGACACTTTCGCGACTCAAAAGTGCGAGGCAACGGCACTAAGGCCTTGCCTTGTGTGCGCGGACATTCTTATCAATTGCGGCAAACGTGGTGTTTGCCCTGTCGCGTACAGCAGGCTCTCTCGCGTTTTCCCTCTCCTGGCAGCGCTGTTCCTCTTCGTCATATCTCAGGCTCACAATAGAAATTTAATTGTTTTCTGTGGGGCTTTTTGCCTTTGCACAACAATTTCCTCATTGCACTTCTTGAATAATGTTCAAACAGAATAACACTCCAATTGAATTTCGACTCATACCTTGGAGTAGTAGGGGAAGCAAATTTTCTCTGTCCCCTCGGATTTTCTTCAAAGGGACAGAGAAAATTTTTATGAAAATTGGAGATGATTACTGCCTACATTCTATTTGGCGCTGTACAAAGTTATCATGATATAGTGCATACAGGAAAACCGAATCTCAAATATAAAAGCCTAAATGAAGCAGGGAACGTCTTATGCACGGCTGTATTCGAGAAGACGAAGGAATGCACTTCTTCATGAAAGTCATGACTATCTAATGCGCATACATTTCAAAGTAGAGGGCTCTGGTACAAGAAAATGGATCCAATATGAAGCAGAAAGCATGCGCCATGGCGAAAGTCAGGTGCTCGAAAACAGCAGCTGGAACAACTGAATGTCGTTCATTTTCACATGCTTTCAACAGAACGCTAAGTCGCCAGCTCCTGCAGTCGGGCTTCCTCCTTTTAATTGAATAACTCTCACGTAATGATTTTATTCAAGAAACATAGAAAGCTGGAGACAATTCGGGATTCACGTAGAACGTGAATGTGGGCAAATGAAAGTTGCAGTGATATTGAGTCAATTTCTGGTCTATCTAGCCTCCCGCTAATTGACCATTAGCGAAAGGCCCCAGGTTGGAGGAGGGTGGCAAAGCAAATCTACGAAAAGGGCAAGGCTGTTTCCGTAACACATGGTGAGTTTCAGTACTTCGTTCATTTTCAAGACTGAACGTCTATGGTCTTTGTTATTACCTGTTCATCTACCGTAAACAGTCGCATGAAGATGCCCTGGAAAAACCTGATTAATGTGGTTCACGCGCCACCCACAGCAGTTCCGATATCGAAGGAGGATTCCGCGATAAGGTGAGTGGTTTAAGAAAAGGCAGGCGGCCCCCTAATGATGCAAAGTGATGCGCGTTTTGCAACGAAGAGTATGCTCCCAGCCAGCGCCGCTCGCCCCGTTCCCGTCTAGCCCCACGATGTCTGGCTCTAGCCCTTCAGCAGAGGAGCGTTAGTGTTGAAGAGATCAACACCGATGATAGTTGCATCAATGCGGAGATCAAGGGCGAAGAAGGGGTCCCATTATTCGGGTCCTGAGCCGTTTATTTTAATATTTTCTCCATCCCAGCACCATTGGCCATCCCTACCTTGAGTTCTGATGGACCGCATTTTCATGGCAAACTCGCCTCGAAGGAACTATGCAGGAAAAGGCTGGAAGCGCTAAAACGGCAAAGGGCCAGAATTTATACCGAGGCCGTTTGTTGAGCAGAAACGGGCCAGGGATTAGTACCGGTCAGATTCTCAAGCAGGAAAATCAAGCCTCCCTTGAGTCGGTGTTCTGGTAGCTTTTTTGACAAGGAGACACTAATCTGTATCGATTCGGTTGGCCCTATAGGGCAAACTGGGCCAACCGCCTCGTTCACACTGCTATAAAACAAGCATCATTGAGCTGTACATCTTGAGGCATCAAATATCAGGAAATTGATGCTGAATAGCGGAGTTTCAGCAGATGAGTCGGGGTGAGTCGGAGCTACTAGCGACTTCTTCATCACCGTAATTATCATGCAACGGCGGATCCGCCTCCATGCCCTGACGACAGCATTTTTAGGAGCAACATGAAGAAGCACTCTATAGCAATTGCAGTCACAAAGCAAATCTTGGATCTAGCAGACTCAAGGGTGATGCCACTACAGTTCCCTTTCCCGTTAATGGCAAAACAGCCTCAAGAAGTGAATCTCGTCAAGATTCAAAATTAAATCTCAAAACCAGATAGAATATGCAAGGAAACTTTGAATTCTTTTGGCTGTGCCTACTGTGGCGTTACCCCAGGAGGGCGGAAGGTATCCCCCAGGCGGGGCCAGGATTTAACGTGGTAAGCAAAAAACGTTTAAGAGCAGGATGAAAATCGTGTCGAGGACGTGGTCACCTCCGTACGAATCCCCCCTCACATCGGGATCTTGATAGGATCCCTCTAACTTTCATTTGATGTGAATAAGTGCGTTCCATAATGTACAGTAAAGCAATCGCTTGCAGAGCGGTTTGTCCGTGGGTCAGATTTGCCGAAATTCCGCTCGAGACCATCGAAATCTACACTATCGATGAAAAGGTTCCATTCCACCATTTTACCACATTTGGAGCAATGTGTGGTAGGGCTGGATACGGATGGATTTGCTGCTACCGGGCAATATTGAAATTGATCTGAAACCTTTACACTCGAGGAGATAGGGTCTCTCAAATTTTGTCGATGCAGCGTCGAGGATCCCGAATTTTTCGTGCGAGTTTTTGCCACTAAGAGTCAATATCTCTCTAACTTCGTGGAAACTTGAAAGAATTAAAACAAATTTGGAAAGCATAAGGTTCGCGCTTTTTGACATTATGTTTAGCTTCCTTCTTTCTCGTCCTTTAGTTGAAGAGCGTCGAGGATCTATCGAGGATAATTCTCGACCGTCAAAAAGCCGCTCCCTTCTTTACCATTGCAAGTGTAATTCGTTAGCAACGTTCGAAATGTGTAAAGGATATATTCCTCCAACATAAGCAAAATAAAAGGGGCAACCGTCACCATCCGATATTATCTGGGTGAAGGCCATGCACTCGAAGTTGCAGAATCGATTGGAAGGTTTATATAATCACCAGTTGACAAAAGCTGCAGTGTAGCAAACACATTTCGTAACTCTATAACCTAAAAAGCAACCTCATTTGCCTACGGCCTTTCCTTTACGGTTGTTGGTTTGCGACAGCGTCCCTAACAACAGTGTCATTCACAACGAGGTATTGAGGGGGAGGGAGCGGGCGGTAGATAGAGGAAATGCCTTCTTACCGCGTGTGCACATGTATCCCTTTTCCTCGCGAAGATGCACTTTCATTCTTTGCATACTTTCAAATACTTCCTCGTCGGAGGTAGAGAGACGCAGCGACTGAACCCGCAAAGGATATTTCATATCATTTTTTCTCATATCCTTGTTTTCTGCTGCGCTACACCCTATCCCTTCTATCTGCACCACGATGCCACTGACGTTACTGACCCTCACGAGTACGACCCCCATGACTCACCTTGACAACTACGATCCCCTGTCGAGAATTTCCTCGACTAATATGCACCCTGTTTGAGAGGACATAACATCTTCGAAATCATACTTTCTAATCGTTTAAGTAGATTTGCGATGTGCCTGACGTACCCTTCCAAAAAACTACCTAGGTTGCATCACCAGCAGGAAAGTGCTTCTTTAACACATTCACGCCCATGGCCGCCCAAATGGGCTGCCAACAACATGCGCTCCTAGGACGATGGCAGCCTATATGGGCTGCCACCTGATAATCGCTTGCCAGGCGCTAGGAATGGACAGATATGTGGACAAACCTCGTAATCGAGTGTAAAATGCTCATAAATTCTTTCATGGGGAAGTGAGTGAATGCTCTCTTTTCGTAGCCACTATTTGTCATTCTGATCGAAATCCTACTGTTATAGTTTAGATAATCTTTACGCATTGGACATTGCAGAAATTACTTCGTGACATTCATGTTTTTGTTCATTTACAAAACAAAATCCGCGGTTATGTGATGAGGTGGCGGCACCCACAAAATCGCGTCCGTCCCACGCGACCGAAAAGTGGAAAAGGGACGTCGTCGCGAATGTGTTAACGAAGGGAAAGACCCAAATTCCTAGGAATCGCACCTCCATTTTCGAAAAGCCATAATTTCTTTGAAAGCGAGTTTTCTGGTAGCGGTAGTAAGTTTTAGAAACATGAAATATTCATCTATCCAAATCGTATTAAAAGTTTCGTGATCGTTCCCTTTTTCTGAAAATCGCCCGTTCGCACTTTTTTTCGTGCAGGGGCGAGCTTTTGGGCTCCCAGTGGCCATACCTCACTTGTTTTCAAATATGTCGCAAACTTTTTAGCATGGCAAGAAATTTTAGTCTCTTTCTTCGAAAAAGGCACATTTCGTTTCGTTCGCACTTTTTTCTTAGGTTTTTGAGCAGTCAATTCAAATTTTTGGGCTTTAAGCAGTCACAACTTTCTTCAAAAAGCTTGTTGTAGAAGAGCGAAGGCGTTTTTGAGAGCTACGAGGTTTCCTCCTTCCAGTGTGCACCAAACTTCTCTACAAGAAACTTCCATAAAAATCTGGCTCTTCCAAAGCGTTCATTTCCAGCCTTGAGAAGTCACTTCCCTAAAGCGCTGCACTCCGTTGATATTTGTTTGGTCCTGAGACTCCAAGTTTTGTCTTAAATTACCTCTCCGCACATAAGGAGTGGAGATTGAAGCGGGTGGCACAAACAGGAATAAAAGCATAAAGCATTTGCCGTCAGAGTCAACCCTGCGTTGCGCAGTTTTCAACGACCACGTTGCGCAGTTTCGCCCGATTAGACACGTTCTCTCGCGCTAATATTCACACTCGCATGCTCGAGCCGTCTGCGTCTGCGCCCGTACAGCGTGCGTTGAGGATCTCTCAACGTGCCGTTGCGAACTGCGCAACGCAGGGTTGACTCTGCGTTGAAGGGGTTAGCACTGTGAGAGTAGCATCAATGCGGAAATCGATGAGCAAAGAAAGGGTACTGCTGCGAATTGCGAGGATCGCTCCAAGGGAGTCTCCGGATGCACCCGTACCTGCGGGCGAGTTGCCATCATGGCCCCTATCTACTGCCTTCGTGATCGCGCGGCAACGTGCAGTGCTATTATCGACAGCATCATCACGATCCCTCCGGGTAACAGTCTTCTCTCTTCAACAAGCTCATCCTCTCGTCAACTTCTCAACTCCCGCACAGCAGTCCCGCAGGGCTCTAGGCCTTTTAAACTATTGATGAGTGGTACAGCTGGTCTCTGGCGGGTCCGAGGCAGGGTCAAGCGAAGTCGAGGAAAATTCGGAAATACGACCCCCCCCCCTCCCTCTGCCGAAGGCCGAAGTCCATGAAACAACCCTATTTAGAAGCCCAACTATGAAAAAGTTGTTTAATTCCCCACCAAAACTGCTCATAAAAAAAGCCCTGCTACCCCATCGTCCACAAAAAAAAACTCGTTCAAAAAGTATAAAAGCAAAGAAGTCAAAGAATGATCATTAGTGACGAGTCCTGTCAAACGGCAGACGAGAAACGGAGCAAAAAACGCCAAACTAGTCACTAGAAATGGCGTACTATGACAACACCTCTTCTTTGTTTATTTCCTCCACAAGACTTACCAAATTCTAGTACTACACAGATTATGGTTCTCAATTTACACGTCCCCCTTTCGCTCAAAGGAAGCCTTGTAAAAGCCTTCGCCAGCTGTGTGTTGACTGGACTTTGGCGTTGACCGTGGAGCAGCTTATTTACTATTGAAATTTGAACAAATATTCAAATGATTATAACTTTCTTCAAAGTTTTACAAGAAGTTATAAGAAATAAAAAATTTAGATCAAATAACGAGGAAAATTCGAGAAGAGCACGAGTTCTTACACTTTCCGGAGCAGTAACTTGTTTCATTTCCGTCAAATTCAAAAAGTTGATACGTCATACAAAACTAGAAGATTTCTCTATCAAACGGTCGCTAAAGCAGCTTCATACGTCCAGTAGTCAAAAAATGGCCACGTTGAGGATTTTCGCAAAATTAACGAGGAAAATTCGTGATGAGTGCGATTTTACACTTTCCAAAGCCATAACTCCGTTCAAACTCATCAATTCTGGAGAAGTTAATACGTCATCATAATAGAAATATTTGCTCTTTCTATAGCAACTAAAACTGCTAAATACGTTCAGCTATTTTAGAAAAATGGCCAACAGTGATGGCGAATTGTTGAGGGGTAGTCTGTCGCTTTTATACCGGTTTCGGCCGTTGAGCGATTTGGGCCCGAGTACCGGCCGAAAGGTACTTTTCGGCTAAACATTTAGCACGTATCCCAACGGTTATAGCCGTTGCAGGGCAGCGTTACATACTGAATGGGATGCGGCAGCTTCGATAATCCTCCGGTGCTTTCTCATGTGCAAAAAGTGTAAAATTGTTTAGCCGGTCTGGTCTCAACTTTAAAGGTTACATGCTTGTGAATTTGACGCTGAAGGCTGCATTTCTTGTTGAATAGTGTACCCCTCTCTGTAATTTAACATGAACTCTTTCAAAACCCCTTGATTCTTCCTGAATTAAGATTCGTTATCAAGTTAGCCGTAGCTGAAGCGCGCTCAACCAAATGGGCTCACTCTGGGATGCGCCGTGTGCTTCACATCTCGTTGGATTTGAGGACCGACTTGAGTGATAAAATATCCCTAGAAACGTGCGAATTTCGGATCCTTTGAATTGTGTGGTGATGAAACACTAAAGTCACTAAGAATTGCTAAGCGGACACCTCTAAATCACGAAGATTTTGTGTGGACGGAATCAATTGTTACTGGAAATACTCGGGCCTGGTATCGATTCGATCCTTAATGTTTGTCCTCCGACGATGATCCTACTGTATCAATCGGGCCCGACCACTCCCCAGCGGGCCAATACGACCCCCCCCCCTCTGTGACATGTCGAGGATTCCTCAACGCACGCCTGACCCTGGTCCGAGGTAGGGACCCGACGTGAGTTCTCTTTTGTACTAATCTCTGAGTGTACATTTAGTTGACGTTGAGTGAATAATGAGTACTCCTCAAAGGTATTATGTTTATGTATGTTCTTTATTGTAGGAAGGTGTAGTCCCAAATCAGAAGGTATTGAATAGTTCATTGATTCCCAACTGTGTCGGTGGGGTAGTGATGGAGTAGATGTAAGTTGAGGGTTAAAGGTCATAATTCCCCTATCGATCAGGGCTGGATGCTCAAGGAAAGTGGGGAATAGTTGGAACACTTAGTTTCAAAGGGAGTTGTGTCCCTCAAGGGGTTCGCGCTTAAGATGCTAACGCGTTGCTCTTCAGGTTGCGTGGCTTTCCTCCCTGCCGTCACCGATTCGCAACAGGTACCATTTCTCAAGTTCTGGGTCGTTTCTAACGTTTTTTCTTTAATCCTGCACCACTGACCACCTCCCCTTCATTTTCGCTAGGCTCCTTTTCATAGCAAATTCTGCCTTCAAACGCTTTCCATATCTGCTAAAGGACTTGTTTAACAGAGGTATGGAGCGAGGAGGCGCAGAAGCAATCAAAATTTCGCACTATTTGCCCGTCGCGTGGCGTTTGTGTGCGTGCCAAGTTTTCACGCTTCAAACAAATTTTATATTCGTGTTGAGGGAATCAAGATAACCCTGGAGACAAGTTTCCAGCCACATTTTAAAATTTCTCAACTCGAAAAAAAAAACGACTTACCTATGATCAACCACCATACATCAACCTATTTTCGTATCACCGAAAAGAAGCCGATGTTTTACTCATGGTCCCGAAAAGAAGACTCATCATCTGGCTCATGTTTTCCGCAATAAATGGAAATGATTCACATGGCCTTTTGACCAAATAGAAAAGGTGTACAGGTTACAAGGTCAGTCAGCGATTTTTTTCGCCTTTTACATCACTGTTTCGCGGTGAGAACCACAAGTCCACTCCTGATTAGGGATGGTCTGGGCCTGTGCAGCAAGAAGTTTCGCGGTGCGAAAAGCGAAGTTGCTCTATGTGCACACACTCTACAAATGCAGTGCTTTCTCAATCAGAGTCAACCCTGCATTGCGCAGTTCGCAACAGCACGTTGAGAGATCCTCAACGCACACTGTATGGACGGAGACGCAGACGGCTCGAGCATGCGAGTGTGAATGTTCGCGCGAGAACCTGTCTAATCGGACGAAACTGCGCAACGTGGCCGTTCAGAACTGCGCAACGCAGGGTTGACTCCGTTCTCAATTCAATTCCGATTCATACCTTGCTGCTCGAACCGTTGACTACCTTATTTTTCAAAAATATTCACAAAAATTAGTCTAACTGGAAGCGTGCCTCCACAGTTTGACCGCCTGAGCACAGTGAGAAATTACTTTCTGCAAGAAGCACGACACGATCACTTTGAACACTGAACTGTCAGCTACAGGCAGCAGTTGTTGAAGTAAAGTCTATAAAAGACCTTGAAGCCAGTGCCAATGTGGCAAAACACCAAATTCGAGGAACCGATCCCATGACCGGGGTTTCTTCCCCTGCGTTATTGCAGCACAACACTCCTTCAACTCGCTTGGCTTGAACGGACCTTGGAAGATGTGTTCAGTACCCCGATCTTCTTACAAGTGGCAGGTGGAATTCTGTGTTCTAGCAATAACAACAGTGACTCAAAACACGGTCCAATTCGCGAAAAGATCAAATATTGAAATTGAACACCCCTTTGTAATGAATCAACACAATCCGCGATCGAGAATAACAGCGGGGGGAGGGGAGGGGAGTAGATCGAATAGGATGGCAGCCTTAATCAAGGCGTATATTATACCAACCGCTCTTCAAGGGTAACTTCTTTAGCTTCATGCCGTCTGCAGAAATGATTAAGTATTTAAAGCAACAGTCCAGGCGGTTTCATACTACTTGGTCATTAGGCGTTCAAAACTGCCCCAGCCCCAACTAAAGTTTATAGAAATGTCTTTAAATTCAAACCCTACCTCTAAAATGCGCTGGAAGGGTCGAGTCCTCTTGAGGGGGCGATCACCCATAAAAGAGGGGATCGCCCACATAGGCTGTTCAGAGCGCTTGCTCGACTAGCGGTCGTTGCGGGACCACCGCGCTGTATGAGGTCGATTCCATAAGAGCGCAATTGAAGCGCTTCAATTTCGATTGCTGGCAAATAGTTATGTATTTGCAAGCATGCATGGCTATTTGCCAGCATTCAATTGGAGCGCATGTACTACGGGCAGGTTCGGACAACTCGTCCAACACACGTCTCCCTAAACGGCAGGGGGAGTCCCTGTCTAAGCCCCTGCCCGACGTTTTTTCTACTTTTTCTTCCTCCATTGACCAACTTCTCACCTGCAACGTCATTATAGGTGGTCCTTACCCGCGAATTCGTTCCTGGATTGTTGCTTTAATATCATATATTTTCCGTCTTTTCATCTGCGTGTGAAAAACCCGACAAATATGAATCTTCATCTTATCTCCAATGAGCAAACAAGAACACCACATTATGTAGTATGATGAAGGTCACAGGTATGAAATTCAACTACGACAATCATGAATCAACAACGTCCGAAACAAGTGCTATTGTTCTTATGCAATTTGATTAGGATAAGACACCTATTGAAACCGTTATCTATTTGAATTGCTGAAAAATCTGTGAATCGCCTCTGACTCAACACAGATCGCAATTATCAGATACAAAACTCGTCTTTCGAATGCGTTTCTGATGAGTGCATTCACCGCACGCTTGTCCTCTACTATAAAGTGCCTATAAGAAAATAAACTGTTAGTGGACGAAATAAATAAATAGAAATATGTAGCAGATCGGATGAATCACAGTAAAAGCCCGAAACAGGAAAGAATTGTCTCAACTCCATCACATGTAAGAATTATACTGCACAGTAAATGGAATCACATGGAAAAAGGCGAAATTATCACTTTGAAAAGTAGAAATGTAAAGGTAAAATTATTGGAGCAGAACTTGTAGTAGTTATATGGAAACAATTTCCAAGAACTATTTGAAAAATGCGGTCTAGGGAATGCGAACAACAGGATCACTGGTACCGTTGCCGAGATCCCTCTGAAGAATTAACAATATTTTTGAGTACAATATAATGAAAAAATAGTAGAAGTCATTCAAAAGGGGAAAAGCACCTTTGATCGGGTTTCTTCTGTTTCAATGTTGGGCATTTCTTCGACAAGACCATCCAATACAGGAACTTTCAGCGCTGTGTCAGTGAACAAAGCTACCATATCTTCCGATCCCATGGAAAGCACATCGCCATTGGACCCGATCGACAAGTGAGAAGTCTGAGAAATTTCAAGAAATCGGCAATTACTGTATGTTTCAGGAAACACTGATCAAAAACCAAACACCAAAACTCAATTACTCCCACATTACCGCAATCATGGACTGATTCGAATCGTTCAAAATGAAAGAAGAAATTCGTCATTTTCGCCGTTGTTCAAAACCATTCCGAAGCATTTCCAATTTACCCATTTTTTACTTCAGAATTGTTCCGACTTGAAGTCTAATGTTGATCTCAATGGTAATAAATAAATGTGAAATGTGAAACTTCAAGAATTTTTTAAGTTTTTTTTTGCTAACGTGCTGCGTTGTCTCGGATGAGCCACTCAGATGAAGACAACAGCTGTCTGAAGGGCATCAAGTCTGTTTTGCGGTTCTTCGCTGGGTGATTTTTTGACTCTAGCTTAATCGCTCTTCTTTTCTCGAAGAGGCAGTGCAGATTTGAAGTAGGTCGCTTTGGGTTTCCTAAGGACTGGGATCAAGTGGGTTAAGCAACTCAATATGCCGTGTAACACTTACATACGCACTTTCGGTTTCGTTTAGTCATTCACGTGCACACTTTTGTTTTTTGACTTCGGTTAGTCATCGTTCAAAAGAAAAAATTCGAGTAAAAATGAAGAAAACGATCGGGTAAAAGTAGTCATTTCCATATCCTTAGATGTACGTTTTCGAACGCGCACACAACGCCAGAGATTTCAACTGTGCCGAGTAAGGTTAAGAAGAATATGTGCAACAATATTATTACCCTACACCCTTATATAATTTTCAGACAACTCGTCCAGGCACACCTGTTCCTTATTTCGAGGAAAAAGGGAGGAAGTCTCTGTTTAGGGCTTCATCGACGGTTAGCTTCGAATCCAAGAGTGTACCACGGCTGAGAACTGCCACCTGATGTCTTGGAAAGCTCTCCACCTTGCGTTCAAACCATCAGACAACATTATGCGATGAGAGCTCTCGTCCGAAATCTGACGAGCATACAAAAGGAGCGCAGTCCCCCACTGAGAAGTATGATGGGTGGCGCAGCAACGGGACGAGACTGTTGAAGTGGTGTTGTCTCAAGGTATGGTGCAGTAGTTTGGGCGAACCTTGGACGAACTGAAGTCCAATCTGAACGGCTCTGATGGCCTGGCAAGTTTTTGAAGCAGCATGAGGAAGAAACCATAACACCTCCTCATGCTCGGAGCCACTAACGGTAGTGACGGATTGGGTCGCCTCCAATGGCTTGTGTAAATGTCAATTCGTGTTCGTCAGACATCTGATGAGCTCCAGTGCTAATTAGGGCGTCTGTAAAGCGATTTAGCGCCATACAGCCATCGATTCTCATTCGTACGCTTCAAATTCAGTGAAATAACATTGCACGTCAGTATTTCAACAAAGGCGTGGTTCGAAAAGTAGATTTCAGCCTTCTTACTTAGCTCAATTGTTTCAAAACATGCGTGAAAAACTTCTGTAAAACTTTCGGAATGGGTTATTTATAATCAGCGTCAAAGACGCATCAGATTGTCATCTTGTTCTCAATGGCCATAGTGAGTCAAGATCACCTTCTTGTGGCAGCCAATACAAATACGAAGATAGAGTAGCGGTCAGAAGTGTTCGCCGAAACGATTTTCAATGCATTATTTTTTCTCGCTCGAACAACGCCCTCCAAAAATTGATATACTATGCTTCCTAATGTTTTGATATCCTAAAGTTTTGAAGAATCAGGATGTTCAAGAAAAAATTTTTATGAGGCGGCCGCTGATTTTTTCCCCGCAAAAAAGAGAAGCGTGAACCGTTTCGGCGAACACTTTTGACCGCTAGTGTATCTTGTATTATGCAAACTATGTGCTCACGTTCAAGGGCATTTTTCCTCTAGTCAGCCACCAACAATCTGAGGATGAAACTGCTTCTAGTAAATATATTGATGTAGCAATAATTCACTTCGAATACTTACGGAGTCATCATCAGCATCACACACAGAAGATCCGCGAAGCTGCCTGTGCGCCCAACCTTCAGCTTTCTGAAAGAAATTCACATTAGCGTGTTTCATCACTTGAAAATAACAGTCCTGCTAGCTACTGGTTTTGAGATTCTTTAAATATTTCTCTAGACATCTTCACTTTATTTATTTAAATAGAGCAGAACTAGAAGACGCGTTCATTAGTTTAGCGAACTAAATATTCATCAAGGATAGGGAGGCATAGTTCGCAAGATCGCTTGTTCAGACATATGTGAAAATGAAGCACACGTTCTCTGTCTACGACACCATCAAAAAATCTAGCTGGTTGACTGAATGATGGCAATCGCTTCTAACTCTAGCCGTAGTCGTGCAACCGAAAGAAAAGGATCAAAAAACAATAAGTTTCTCCAGTGGAGACGCTATCGCAAGATGGGAGAGAGGGATATCACAGTGAAACAGTTTGCGTGGACTACTCAGTCCCAATTTCGCTCAAGTCCTTTAAGTTACCGCGTGCTAGCGCCTTTAGCCCATTCAAACTCTATGGAAACAACTGAGCAAGGAAAGTGAGTAGTTTTGGATGGGAGGCGATTCGATAGGACAAATGATTTTCTCCTCCCATAAGCTTGTGAAGCAAATTCAGGTAATAAAGAACAAACAGAACCAAAAAACGAAGATAGAAATTAGAAATGAAAGTTATGGGCAGGACAAGGAAATTGAACGGTGGTTTTCTACATCGGTTATTCCGTTAACTTCTGATTCCGGAAACTTCAGCAGACATTACAATTTTTAACACGTTTTGTTTTGTTGATCGACAAAAAGCTTCGAGGGGAATATACGACAATAGTGTCCATGAATATTAATCATACCTCGGACTAGAATTCCGTATTTACATCTCCCACCTTTGTGAGCCATTACTTCCCGAGGACAACGTCCGCGATGGTATCACCAGGCTAAAGAGGCTACAAGATCACCTAATAAGGGGAGCGATGGACTTCGAAGCACAAGGCAAGCGACCGCGGAAGCCTCAAGAAGAGGTGGAGAGATGTAATGAAGAAGGACCGATTGAAGCACAGGACAGAACAAAGTGACGACAACTAATAAATACAACGGACTTGCTTTGCGTGGGCCTACGCTAGGGAGCAGAATTTGCGAACTCGTCTAACAGGAGCACGCAATCGAAGTCCTACCCAGGACATCCACCCTGACGAATGAAAGCCAAAAAATGTCAACAAGACGACGCGATGGAAAGCAAAACATCACATCTACAGGAGGATAATGTTATGTTACATATGGAAGGAATCCTCGCCACAAAGTCGACATGTTCCATACAAGATTAAATGAACGCGGTATAGCACTTTTAGAAGCAAAGTTGAAAGAAACTGGTAAGAGACAAAAAATAGAAGTGCTCACCCGCAATTCGAGCTGGGTGATCGTCTGCCGAAGGTCCTGGACAGATTGCATTGCCTCAGAGTATTTTAAACGCTCCATAATACACTGTTCGTTCAACTCTGATTCTCTTTGCACACAGCGTTGCCGTTCTTGACGGAGAGAAGTTTCCAGGTCACGCCTTATCTGAAATAGTGTAGCGTCGTAATAGCAGAGAAAAATTTGAGACCAAAATGGAAAAAAACATCGAAATTGGGCATGGAACCGCTTAATTTTCTATGTGGTTTTTCATGGAAGGTAAACAAAGGTAGAGACCTTCTGCACGGCCTCGATCTCTTCGCGAATTCGTTTCATCTCATCATCTTGACGTCGAATTTGATTGGTACATACATGGTTCTGAGTTTCTAGCTCCATGACCTGAACACCGAAAATTTTGTATTCTAAAAACTTGATAGCCAAGTGAGGGGATCTGCCGAACCTTTCCCTTCAACGAAATAAAGGACCAACGCGTGCGCTAGTCAAAAAGACCGAGTTAGCAAGCTACAACTTCGTTTGAACCTACTGCTCCTGGAGCATTCTTTAGGAACCTGAGTTTTAGAACATTTTCCCGTTGAGGAACTGAGACCTTCGATGTATAAGTTTCCAGAAGAACACAGAATACTGTTCTTCTGGTCTGTGCTCTCGTTATTCGACACACAGCCATCTCCATTTGTCTCCTCAGCGTGCAAGAATTTCTCAATGGTTTTTTAAGGGTAGGAACACGAAGTCCCTCACACTGTTTGCTCAAAGCATCTAAGAGAGTGACCATCAGCACGACTGTCTCTCAGAAGTTTGTTCAACATCCCGCTCAATTAGGTCAGTTACTCCTGGTCCAGCGATCACTAGCAAATCAAATGACGTGTAAGGCCCACCAGGTCCTTGATGCCTTGACGAATGCGCAATGCTGTGCAGTGCTTTCAGTGGATGCTGGATAACGACGACTGCGTAACTCTCTTGATTTTGTAAAGCTCACCGCCCCCAAAGAATAAGGAGGAAGAACCATGAACTCGAAGAAGAATCCGTAGCAGTGTGCTCTTTTTAAGGCCTACTGTATCGTTTTCTTGAATGTACAATGACTTAAATGACATCCAAAAAAAACAAGGGATGAGCTCAAGAAGATGACAATTTCTTCGAGTCTCAGCCTTCTGGAAGGACAAATTATCCAAGCAACGGCGCTAAGCGGGCTACTACATATCTTTGATCACCAGGCCGGGGTATTACCCGGACATGTTTCAAAAACAAGCGGCTACTAATTTCTTTACAGCTTAAGTGGAGTTGGGTTTGGATTAATTTGTTTATATGGAATCTCCTCTAACACTTGATTGCATTCTTATCATTCTCGCAGTGTACCATAAAGGCGCTAGAAGAGACCGTAACTGCTCTCCATTACACCACTAGAGTAACACCTTGTTTCGACCCTGTCTGAAAAGCGGTGTCACCATCTGAGAATGTACATTACTAAAAGACGTTGACTGAGTGGCAGAAATACAGTGACAGAACGCGCTATTTTCAATGGCTTCAAAGGAGCATAATATGAAATTAATGAAACACACCTTTTGCCGCATTTCTTTCAGCTCAGCTAGATTATCAGCCTCTTTAATACGCACACCCATCAGCTGATCCTCAAGTTCTCGTATAGTTATGCAGCTGTCATCGTCATCAGGTGATGCACCAATGAATGATGCCGTAATCCGTGCAAGTCGCGCACTGGAAATGAACATACTGAGAAAACATTGCTCGTTTGAAACCTAGAAACTAATTTTGTCCTTATAAGAGAATATTACTGAAATGCTGCTAAATACGTAGGCAAAAGTGGATTTCACCTCTAATGCTCCAGTAGCTATTGTAACCTTTTCCACTTAGTACACTTTGTACTCACGGACAGGTGTAATAATTGGTACCAGATCATATTCATTTTCTAGAAACTGCATTGTATTATCCTCACTGAGAACCTCAAGCCCTAATACATCAGCCACAAAAAAAGGAAGTACAAGAATGTGTAGATTCAAGAAGGGTAAGGTAGGTAGGACCGCTCCCATGCATTCACTCCAACTACCACTACGTAACGTTTAGTTTTCGGCGTAGCTGCAGCAATGTAAGTATCCCACGTTCTCCTGAGAATAATGATTGTCTAGGCTAAGCCTCTGTCACAGTCAACACATGCAGGTCCCGTTCTGGTTCGCTAAACTTCTTAATTTCCTTAGCAAGGCCGCCACTAGCACATGTCTCTTCAATCAATCCTGCTCACCTTTATCCACTTCCACAAAAGAATACGCTACTTCACTAACTTGTTATGACGAACAAAAAAAAACAAACCGTGCAAAGTTAAGCGAAGGCGGTGGTGGCGAATCGTTTGAAGCAGTGTTCGAATCGCTGTCGGGCGAGGTAGATGCGGGATCCAACGCCCGTGCATGAACATATTTCTAAAAACAGACATCAAGAAAGTGAAAATGCAACATGAAATTTCTCTATAAACCAATGCCTGCTACCTCCTGTCCAATAATCCCTAGTAAAGTGCGTCTCATAACAACAAGTCACCCTCAAACCTGGCACTTCCACAATAACCAGACACTTGAGATCTTTTCAGTCCCACTATCAGATTTTTCACCAGGAATTACCCCAGTATCCCAATAAGAGAGCCTCTTTTTCTAGTTTTTTATAATTATTTTTTTTGGTTTGCATCGTCATAAAGATCACCCTAAAACTCCTCTAAAACAAGAAATGGGCCACCATGAACAGGTTGTTCTAAACTAGACAGTAAGATCCGTAAACGGCGTTTCACAAGGAAAGCACAAGCACCCTTCATTCCTAAAACACAAAGGCTACATCTGAAACAGACCATTATGAAAATCAGCTCAAGAGTTGTGCCTCATATTAGGGCACTCGGCCACACGATAAAAAAAAGCTGTAGCACAGGCAATGCGCAATGTGCGAGGGGCAGACGCACCATTAGGAAGGTAGGTCGTATTAGGATTATTTCGCTCACGGATTTGGTTCACCACTGTCACTGAAGACGAATAGACAGTTTTAAGACAAATAGAAACCAATAGAAAGAATCACCGCAGCACAACACACATACTGATCACAGAGCTAACAAGAAAACGCTGACCGCCCAATGCTGCTCGAGCTCAGCTAGACGTTGACGCATTTCTTTCACGGCTAGATTGCTTTCAGCTTCACGCATTTTCACCGAGATCAGTTCTTCCTGAAGACCAGCCACACCTTCAAATGGTTCATGCTCACGCAACCGTTTATTGGCTGCTTCGAGATCCTGAAAAACAGCAATGAAATGAGAAAAAAGAATCCTTCAATGAGTAGGAGAGGTAGTCTGAGATTTGAGTGCACCGTTATAAAGCTGAAGCAAGGAAAAAGCTGTTTGGGACATCTGACGAGGAAAGGTCACCAGGCCGGTCCGGCCATTTGCAATGAGGTGTATTCCTACGCATTCGTCTTGAGACGATAAGCTAGAAACTCCTTTTCTTATCTGCTAAACGGTGCTCTGAACGGGGTTACGGAAGTTTTCCCCTCAACACTGTACTTAAACGCAGTATATGAGCGCTATCATTGGAGTCGCCACTATAAGCCAATCAGGAAGGCGAGCGTCGTGGTTGACGTGGCGTAAGTGGTAACGCTACAGGCTTGTAAGTGAGAGGTCATGGGATCGGTCTCTCATGATGTCTGTTGTTTTGTCTTTTTGAAAACATGACCTTACAAAAAACAAAAACAAGGCCTTTAGCGACAGTATCTCCTCAATTCCTGCCTTTACCTGCCTGTGCAAGGAATTAGGGAGCACCTCTGCGCAGGTTGAAAGCTATTTTTAATTGATATTTGCCATGACTGAAAACGACGCTCATAGCCCACTGATAAGGTGTTTTTGCGGTAAACGAGTATGATATTCGTGTTCAGGAGATCGAATTTTCCCCGGTTACAAGTTTCCAGCTGAATCTGAGATTTTGACCTACACTCGAGAAATGGCAGTCAACATACAGTCAAACGAGAGAAGGTATCAATCGAAAACTAACTGGAAAAGCACCTTCCCTTAATTTTGATGCAGAGTCATGTAAATCATTTCCATTATGCGGAAATGTGAGCCGTTGAACGTTTCTCTTTTCAAAATCTTGGTTGAAAGGGCAATTTCCATGCCAAGAGCCAACGATAGGCTGATGATATGATGGTTGACTCACCTCATTTTTAGGGTTGGGTCAAAATCTCAGATTCGGTAGAAAACTTATCTCCATGGGTAGTTTGATCTCCTGAACACGAATATCACGCCTGTTTGCCGCGAAAAAGCTTGACACTTGCATTACGAGCACCATGTTCATACATGGACGACTACTGCCCAAACCTGCAAGGAACTGCTCGAATTTTTTTCGTACAGGGAACTAACGGCAAAGCTGATAAATTGGGAAGTTAGAAGCTTCCTGGCTACAACCTCACGAAGCACAAAAGAAACAGACTCTCCGAGGAGCCGTTCCCACGACCTCTTGCTCGCGAGTTCCGGGCACTGCCACTGCGCTTCCTTGCTTTATAACTACGTTCAGAGAATCGTTTAGCAGATAAGGAAGGCAGTTCTGAGCTCAGCGCCCCGGGGCGACTTCAACGGTGTACGACTCATTGCAAATGGCCGGACCGGCCTGATGACCTTCCCTCGTGAGTCAAGCGGAAACTGCCAGAAGCTTTCGTCAAAACGCTGCACGCTCGTATAGATATTTCTGCATTAAAGAGAGGGAAGAAATGAATTGAGCTTGTGCATAGTTTTATCGCCCTGGTGATGAAACATGCTCATAACTATTTCGACGTGATCACACTTATTTTCGATCGTGCTGTACGACACTACACTAATATGTACGGTCGAGTTTACAAACTTCATCGTTTTTGACCGAACGCCGACGGCAGTGAACGAAATTGTCTCAAATTTACAGAGTAGTTCATGTGGCAAATACGATATGCGAAGTCGTTTTGTAAAAACGAAAAATCTTGCTGGAAAACACAACTTTTTCAAAGAAAAAGAGCGTCTAATTCATTACTCTGATTGGCTTTTCAATGATAGCATTTTTTCGGCTACCAAACATTTTGTGAGTTCCTAGTGGGTTTACGTACAACAGAACCATGTTTTACACAAATATTGCCGAAACGTTAGAAAACATTACCGAGATACGGAGCTTGCATTCCCTTATCGTATTCTCGTGATCAGCTTGCCGATTGTGGCTTTCAATGAGTTCTTGTTGAAGTGAGTGGATATGTTCGATCATACTAGTGTCATCCACTTGTACAACAGCATCCAGCAAAGCACCTTGTCGAGAACACGATAACTCCCTATAAGCAGGGAATAAGATATAGAACTTTCGTTCAGCGTTTGGGAAACAATTCCTTCCAGCTCTATTTTCAGCAGCAACGGCAATCAATGCTGAGTGACATTGGCCGCACGAGTTTAGGTTCAAATATCTTCGAGCGTTTCCGATCCCCTTTCCTTTCTTCTTCATAGCTTAAGAATCTGGATAACACTAAAAGGCTTTTCACCAATGCCGCTTAAAAAGCGACAGTATGTGGGCAGAGAGATTCGGACTCCCTGCAGTTTCTTACAGATTACGGTGAAAGAGTTTTCCAGGACTATAAAAGAGCTTGACAGCATAATGGCGCGGAAGATGAGTAGTTTAGGACGGCAAAAATTAAATCTTGAAAAGAATACGACCTAGGAATTCAAACGTTGGTATTGAATCAATTCTAGGTGACCAGATAGCATGAATGTCCATTCCTGTTACAAATTCTGAGCTGTCCCGTGAGGAATAATCACGAAACCCAAAAGAAAACTCCTCAACATCGTGTTCTTTCATGTTAGTTTCCATTCACCATTTGAATACGTTTCGCCGCAAAAATATTAGCTTCATAACGATATGTAGCTGATGCAGTTTTTTCTGTGGTAATTTCGCCAGCTTTAATGCCGCATCGTTACGCGATACGTTGCTCTTGTAAGACGTTGTAGTTTTCTCCTACTCATCGTATACCTACTGCCAGCATTTCTTTGAGTAGGCTTTCGGAAAGGCCCCTATTTGGATAGTGATGGCACTTACGCGAACCCGTCATCAAACTGAAAACTTTTTTACATTTGGTGGATTCTAATCACTTCTGCCCATCTTCTTCCATCGCAGTCGTTGTTTTTTCACCTCAGGCTAGATCAAGAATTTCTGTACTACCACCCTAGCGTCGAAACCAGATCATTATCTCGGTCCTGAACATTATATGGTATACATACCTTACTTCTCAGCACCACCGATCACAAAAGTCCCATGAGCCCTATCTATTTTACTCAATACGCAAAGGTCAGTCAGTCCTGGCTTTATTGTCGAAAACATGGATTAAAGAACAGAATAGGTAAATAGAACCCTATACGGACGACAAGACATACTGACTGCCTCTACTGACAACCAGGTCAGAAAAATCGCACCGGTCCCATGTGGTCAAAAAAGCCAAAAATGGGCTGCCGTCGACGCGTTATGGGGAAGGGATGAGAATGGTCAGTGAGAACCTGCAAGAGCTACTATTCATATCTATTAGTAACTATTGAGCCTCCTAGAAAGTACGGGTCACCTTTTGTCGTTATGCATGCATAAGTTCTCATTCATCGCTACACCGCAATGCTTTCATAAAGGCCACTACCCAGGAGGTATTATCCTGGTAAAGCATCTACTACATCTACATCTTATAACTCTTTCACGTTACCTGATCGTGTCATACGCTTGTTCAAGTTTCCGATGCGCGTCAGAGTTGATGTCTCGAAGTTTGCTCAATTCGTGAGCGATATTAATGGAATTCTCAGCTTCTTGCGCCAGATTGACCTGGAATTATAAGCAACACTCAAATGGGTTATTCTATGTTATCATTTTCTTAAAGAGAAACAAAGCATACTTGGCCTTTGACGAGACGATCCGCGAGAGCCGCTGACTCAGCTTCAAGGTAGTCGATGCGCTGTCGGAGCAACCGATTTTCCGTTCGCAGTCGCTGAAACAATGTTTTTCCACAAAATAAATGCAGCCACAGCATTCACGAACGGAGTATGAACTGGATTTTTCCCATTCGTTCGAGTCAAGATGTAAAGTTTTGCTCATAGGCATTCATGCGGCTTGTTTGCTAAAAAAAATTATTCCTTTCATGAATGAAGTAGCAGGGTCCACAAGCACAGAATTGTGCCGCCTCCAGAGTCAACGGTCGCGTTCGACGAATTTCAGAAAATTTACGACTCCTTCACAATGTTGAGGACTCATTACGACACCCTCCCTTGTAAATTGATATTTTACAAAACTCTACACAGGTTCAGAGCCAAAGCGACTCCTATCTACACCAATGCTACTGATGCGTTCGTTACTGACCCCTCCCCCCTCGAGAATAACCACCATGAGCCATCCTGACAAATACGACCCCCCCCCGCTCCCCCTGTCGAGGATTTCCTCGACCGATATTCACCCTGGTAGGAACCGTGCTGGGTTGCATTGAAGGTTGCACAATTCTTTTGTTATAAGTATAAATTTTTCGTTAGAGATTTCGAAGGCACTTCCTAATTTTCAAAGGACATCGACTCTTCTCCAATTTGATCCAACAAACGATGTCTACTTCCATGTAGTGCAATAGGCACGCTCCCGTCCCCGACACAGGTGGCACGGGAGTCAGTTCCCTGAAGTACAACGTCGTACTGGTTCTTTCTACAACCCAACGCAGGCCTCATAAAATCGGCTCCTCTGAGTGTATTTGACCTTCCGGAAACCTGTACCAAAGCAGCGGATACAGGTTCACCGCCTAGAAACGCACGGATAGTAACCGCCCTTAATATGCTTCCCCTAGCACCCATCTGGACGATGCCGAGCCTTACACCTCCACAAGTGGGCTCCTGTGCCGTGGGGAGTCCTCCTGCCATTACCTCCATTCGCCCGCGAGAACTCGTTGTCCCTCACTCAGACGTCGCCGCGGCTCGTGCCGGTAAAGCGTATAAGTGTGCCGAGGAAGGGGTCCAAAGTGCTGTGGGCAGTGAGCCATCCCTGCCCCCATCCTAAACCGTGGTCGGAGTTTGTCACGGTACTACTTCATACTCGGATGCCAATAAGCTCTCCCGAGGCACCTGAACCATTCAGTAGAATGAGGTTGGGCAAGCAGCACTATAGTTTCTCGCTTGGTAGTCGTCGGTGACGAGCAGTGTACACGGAAGTGTGAGGGCAGTGGTTTACCACATTTCTTTGTTTCTTTCCCCTTGCCGGCAACGAGGCCCTGGCTGCGCGGCTTCCTGCTTCCCTCCACGGGCCCTGTTTTTTTTCTGATTTTTCGTCGCGCCCCTTACATTCTCGGCACGCCCTCAAAGTTCGGCTCCGAGATGACTTCCGAGACTTTCCTCCCTTCCCGACCACAATAAAGATAGCGCCCGCAGTATTTGACCACGTAAGTAGTGGTTATGGAGGGCTGCTTGAGAATTGGCCGCCACGCCTCTGCGGTCCGGGGGCACAACCGGATGTTGGGTCGACGGGGGATGTTTGGCCACCCGGGGCTGGCTCTATCAAACTCGGCCTTTGCGTAGGAAGTCTCTCGTTTTTTGTCCCCCCTGCCCTTTGTTTCTGCCTGGTCCGCTCGTTACCTTCGCCGGGAAAATGTCGGCATACCACGGTATTCCGACCGCTTGCCCTATGGAGCTAAGGCCGTTGAATGCCATTGCATATGGCCCTACCTACAGCGCTCCGGGTGCGAGCTGCCCCACCGGCCCGCGTTCCCCTTCCCCTCTCCCTCCTTACCTCTCGGCGGTCGTTTTTTTCCGGTTCTCGTCCTCTGGCGCCGCCTCTGCGGCTTGTACCGGTCTGCGTCCCCGCCTTCTGCGCCGCCCCGCCCCCCCTTGGTGCATGCTTCGCCACCCTGGCTTCCGCCTCCTTCTACCTCAACCACTACTTCTGCCTTTTCCCGTCGCCGGCTACTTCTCAGACAGCCGCGTTCTGCGAGCGGTGGCCCCTCGCCCCTCGGCTGTGCCCCCCGCGTCCCCTTCGCTTTCTCCCCTCCTTTCCCTTGCGTCTTTTTTTCGGCGTTTCCCGTCTTCGCGCCGCCTTAATGCGGTCTTGTAGGGCGCCCTCGCGCCCGTCTCGTTGTGGTTCCCCCGCCCCCTTCTCCTCCTCGCTCCCGCCCCCCTGCTAATATCTCTTGCCACCTCCTTCTCGCTCTTTTCCCTTCCCGGCCCTTCTTGGCTCGCGTATCGTCGTGCCCACCCGCCCCCTTCGCCTCTGCCTCCCAAGGCACCTGCCGCCTCCTCTGCCACCACTTATGCTTTTCCCCCCCCGGGCTCCTAAGGCACCGCGTTCTCAACGGCTGTTGCACCCTCCGCCCCCTTTGGTGTCCGCTCCGCCCCCTTGCCTTTCCTTATTCTCTCCTCACCTGTATCCGCTTTTTCCGTTTCCCAATCCTCTCCAGGCCGCATTCCTGCGCTCTTTGTCGCCCCGTCGTCGTCTTCCTTCGGGCCCGCCTCCGCCCTTGTGGTCGGCCTCCCGTGTCCCTCCTGTGCTGCCCTCCCTGCCCTCGCTGCCCTGCCCTCCCTTTCTCTTTTCTGCTTGCTTCTCCCCCTCGTTTTGTCTTTTCATTGGGCGCTTTTGCCCGAGCACGCCCCGCCCCCGGGTGTCTTTTGCCCTCTGGCTTCCCGCCGCACTTTCTACCCACTTTTTGTTCCCGTCCCCGGCCGTTTTTGCCTGTTCTTTGGACCTCCCGCGCCGCTGCCCCCCACTGTGGGCGGGGCACCGCTTGGCTGATGTCCGTGTTCTTTTCCTTCTACGGGCCTGGTTCCCTCCTTGCCTGGCCTGTAGTTTGTTTGTTCGCTGCTCGGGCTTCGTGCAGCCCCGCCCCGCTTTATCCGGGGCGGCCCACCCCCCCCCCCACTTTGCTCCCCTTCCGCTGGATTTCCGCCCTTTTCCTCCCCTCCGCCGACCGGTTCCTTAATTACTTACGAGTGCTCATTCTCTCCGCACTCTTCTCAGTGGGCCCGTACCGTGGCGGCTCCAGCCGCCTTGCCTGGCACCTGGTGGCCCTGGTCGTCTCCCTGGGTCTCGACCGGGGTCCATCAGCCCTTAACTGCCAGCTAGTTCCGCAGGGATTTCCCCCCCACACCAGTTTTTTGGTACTCTGCTCTCACCCCTATCCAACACTTACTTCGCTTCCCAACATTGCGTCGACGCTTCCGGCTGAACTCTTCCGGTCAGCCTCTTGGGGCGTCCGGTGCGGCTGCCGTCTCTTCCTGAAGCCGGTGCGGAAGTGCAGCGCGCTGCGTCACCCCTCACACTATGACCCTTAGGGCACTTCTGCTGCGGCACCTCCCGTCACACCGCAGCCCTCTCTGCGAACGCCAACGCGCCGCACCATCCGACCATAAAGGACCCGTGTCTTTTCTTTTTTTTTGGCCCCCCCCTGTCTCTAGTCGGAATCGGCTCTTAATAAAGGGAGCGTACCCATTAAACTCAATAATGTAATTATCGAGAAAGTGATAATGGTTCTGAAAGAAAGATAGACAAAAAATGCAAAATAACCGGCACAACGAGCTACCGCCAACATATTAATGTCGATAATGAAAAGTTGTAAACTCACTCGTAGCTCCACAGCTTCCTCTTGCTCCTTAGTTCGTTTGGATAGGTAATCCTTTTCTAACCTGAAAATATCATTTTAACGCAGATTAGCTCAAAAATTGGTCATGAGGGAATGCTCCACAATCCAGAATGCACCGATGCAAGTACTTTCTCAAGCCCACTATAATTTTCTATCGTCTGCATGGTTACTATGAGGCGAATAGAAAATTGAGAAGGCGAACTTACACAGCTACAGGGTGGGGCATATATAGTGGTGGAATAATTATGGCCCCGTTAGAAACGGCAGATCAACAAGCGTATGACCATTTTCTATCGGGAAATTGCCAACATTTTGTTCAAAATGGCTACCCATGAATTTAGCTATTTCGCTCAAATGGAAAAATCTTTTCTTGCCCGAATGACATTCCTCGTGATCACATCAATACTTTTGAATGGCAGTTTCTAGCAATCCATTTGTAATATATTGTTTCGTGCATTTCTTCAGCTTCAATACCGATCACAATAAGTATTTCGCTATCTAAAATCTGGTGGCTTGTTTAGCTAATCTGTTCGGTCTGAAGTCAGATAAATGGGCTCTGCATTAGGCTTCAACAACGTTCAATTTGTGGGCTGGCCTACCGCCTTGCTTGTGAATCTGACCGTTGTTAAAACAACAGTCCCAGCAGGGTTTTTACCTCAATACTACATAATGGTGTGGAGTGATGCGCTAACCCTATTCAAGAACATAAGAAGTGTGAATGAACAAAAAACTCACCTTGGAACGCTGCTAGGAAATGAGCTGAACGGCTTTGGAATGGGTTTGATTGCTCAATTGGAAGCAATCGCCTCGGCCGACTTCCAACCACGCCCACTTCGGAGCCGTTCAGCTCCCTCTACAGCGGCTTTCCACACACAAGGATGAAAACCTTTCTACAGAGACGAAAACCAGCGGAGAGTAAAAAGCCAAGATAGCTCATATTCAATTTACCGCTGAGTTAGGTGTTCCTGCCCCGATAGTTTTTAGGAGTCTTAGTGATTAGTTCCACGTTTCCAACAAGTCCCTTTCGTTCAGGGTCAACCGTCCGTTGGACAAAGTCCAACGAGGGGTGGAAAAAATGGGGGTCGTATTTGGGGTGGGAAAAAGGGGGTCGTATTTCGCGAGGTAGCGTTAATGTTACAGTAAGGGAAGTGATGATGCAGTTGGTTGGCGCGCGGGTGAGGGTGGTGAAGGGTTGACCCTGAGGAGGAAGGGGTCGTATCGAGGCCCTTTAGAAGGGGAGGGGGTCGTCAAATTTTCGGAAGCGGTCCAACGTGACGGTTGATCCTGCTTTCGTTCAGAGCTTCCTGAAGAAGTCTGACCGTCGGCTGGCCGTCGTCCAGGTGTTTATTTGCGTCCCGAGAAATTCAGTCAGTAAACTCCGGGTAAACGGTCATCACAGAATTTCCGGCCCACTTGATTCGATTCCCTGGCGAAAACGGAAGCGTCAATGATCCTCGTCCCATGACGTGGTTCAGAACTCTGGATTCCCCAGTGCACTTGCGTGTTTAGGAAGACTCCTAGCACCGTCCTCTCGAAAGCGCCTTGGATAACGCTGACCGCAAGCTCGCCCTGCCTGCGCAGGGCCCAAGTCTCTGAGGCGCGAGTTAACGGAGGAAGTTCTGCGAAGTCGAAGAGGTGGGCACGGAGCCGGATGTTCTTCGTCTTCTTCACTACTCCCTCAATGTTATTGTACGCACCCCACGCCGCTCTTTTCCCCTGCTCTGCTCTGGAACTAGGTCGTTCATCAGATTGATTTCCCGACCTAGGTACACGTAGCTAGAGCGTTCCGTTGAGCGTGAATGAGGCATTAAGAACCAATCCGTTTCTCACAAACGTCGCCTACGTTAGGTCAGCTGTAGACCGACCTTACCAAACCAACAGTCAAAATCAGCCAGCATTCGCTCCGCTTGCCCGATGTTCGGCGTCATTAGAACGATATCGTCAGCAAACCGCAGGTGGTGTAGTTGCCGGCCGTCGACCTTCACTCTCACGTCTTCCCATTCCAGTTGACGCATGACGTTCTCGAGAGCGGCGCTGAGCGAGATGATGTCGCCCTGTCGAAACCCTCTCTTCATGTCGATGATGGCCTCGTTGTAGAATCGTGAGATTCTAGTGAGAAAGTTGCTGTAGAGCTCACGAAGAATCCTTGTGTACTGGGTAGGAGTGTCCTCCTTGCTCAAGGCTTCGATATAAGGATCAGTAAGGCAATGAAAAAGAAATGCTGTCTCGGTTCTGAAATCGGTGTCCTGGCAACCTGTACGTCTACTGCAACTCAAAACGTACAAGCGAGCGCTATGTCTCCAGGAATGCTAGGACAACTAAAGCCCAGGAGACTAACCATATTTTATAATCATTTGAATGCTGACTGCTAGGCTTTCTGGAGACGTACTGCTTGCCTGCACGTGTTGAGTTGCAGAAGACACACAGGTTGTCAGAACACCGATCATGCACGAGGTGTGGGCTGCTCTAAGGACACCCGTAAACATCGTTCAACTCTTGTTGTTCAGAAGTTGCTCGTTCCATTGGATCGACAAATGCCACACGATATGAGAGGTAGATAAGCTATGCACACAATATACGGAGGTGTCAGTAAATTCACCTCAGCTGCGGAAGGGAACTTCGAAACCCGACTTCAACTAAACTCGGGTCTATTTGGTCAAACACATCACTACCAAGGTGATGAAAGATATCGAAGGATAACAACACCATTGACGTGGATAGATACTGCTTGCAAGTACTTGATTGAGCGTGCCAAAAGGAGTAGCAAAATAATTAACAAAAAACTACCCACTTCCTCATTTTCCTAGGATTCAGCTGAACTTTATTGGCAACAGCGAACAGGAGATCACCATCATTCTCATAGCGCTCACGAATATCGCGTTGAAAGTACTGAAAAAAGATGTTTAAATCGAGATCGCTCCAACGATTTTCTTTTCTGTTATAAAGAGAGCAAACGCGAGATGTTGAAGTCATTAATGAGTTCGTGTAAAAATACAAATCACCGCCCCAGTTAATTTTTGTTACGTTACACACCGTGATTTCCACTTTATTCAGCATGTACCCTATAAGGCGGTATTCTGATATGCACTGCTTTACAAAATAGAATGAATATATGAAAGGATGTGCATCCTAAGGAAACATATAACTCAAAGGCAGAGTGTACGATGAAAAGACAGCTACCTAGAAATCAAGGTAGAGGTGGTCAGCGGTGCAGGTATAAAAGAAAAGAACTAGAAAGGTGACCTAGAACCCAGAAATGGACACCCTCTTTGCCCGTTGATTTCAGCGCTGATGCCAGTCTATCAGTGCTGCCTTTAACGCTAACGCTCTCTCTCCTAAACAGCTAGAGGAAGGTGGCGAAGCGTCACCCATTACTAGGGCAGAGGCGCGAGCAGGGTGGGTACGGGTCTGCTAAGCCGTTTGGATGTACCTTGTACTATAGCTAACGACGTTTTTTGGTGAGGTGGACGCGATTTTGTCACAGCCTCATTTTCTAGTTTTGTAAAACATAAATTACACAAAGAATTTCAGTAATCAATAAAATATTAATTAGTCTTGTCAAAATTACCCAAAAAATTACGACAAACGACTAATAGGCGATTATTAGCTCATGGCGCATGCAATAATTATTTATTCCTTCTTCCTGGCAGTACATGCGACTTGAGATCCACAGCCACCATCAACCTTAGTTGGATCCCCCAATATGACTCTATCCTTCCCGCCTCGCCCACTATCATGGCTGTTTCCATAGAACTCCACCCATTTCTTAAGAGCAGACGTCGAGCGGGGAGATAGGGGTGAATATCTCCACTAAAGCCGACTAATGTTCCAATTTTGTCCATTTCGTATTTCTTTACAAGGTTTTTGCCTAAATTGCCTAAATTATCGGAGACAAAATGACCACCTTTCCGTCCTTTCGATATTCGTCAACTTCAAATACGAACCCACTTCATTGGAGGTAAGCAAACCAGCCCTTTTGGCGTTTCGGCTGGGACCCTATGCTGAATGTTGGGGAGGGGATGGGGTCCCTAACGGTCGACGGTTTACTTCAAATCGGTTGGTACGATATGAGAGTACTGACACAAGTGGTGCAGCTGGTCCAGCAGCTCCGCCAGGAGGGCTGGTTTGCTCATCCTAGGACTAAGCCTTGGGGAGGACACGGACCCGTCCTCTTTAAGGCTTAGTTCCGAGGTGAGCACCAAATTGTAACGGTTCTAAGGATCGAGTTGAGGTGGTCCGTCCACCATCGGTGACTCTATCCCCTCCACAACATTCAGCACACGGTACCAGCCGCAGCGCCAAAAGGGCTGGTTTGCTTACCTCACTTCATTGGTACTTGTATGTAGCAACGGACGGTCGACTCGGTCTCCCGTGGGAAGTGGATGTGCCCGTGTTCCGGCACGCTCTAATGACTTCCTTTGAAACGCATCATAGCCAACTGGTGGGAATAATCTCAGTTGCTTGCTATTGCCGAGTTTACTGATCCTCGTGCAGTTATCAGCACAAAGCAGATTTTCACCCCTTGAATCCAATCCGTTAAAGTACGTATTATCAACTCAACTCGTGTCACATAGACTTATTATCCTTCATACAGTCATTAATAAAATGATCCTAAAGTTTTCTCCGGCCAAATACTGAGTAGGCTAGAAAAAAAAGAAAATGAATATTCTCTGCTTATTACCTTAAGCATTCCTTCCATATCCAGCCGGAGCAGATCGATACGAGCCTGTTGTAAAATTGACATAGCTACGCAGAAGATGAACTCCATTCCCTAAAATTAGAAGAAAACTATAAGAGTAATATTTTTTCAGAAAATGTGGCTGATAACATCAACCATGACTGGATGTGATTCTATTGAAACTCTGAACTCAAACATTGGCCCCTTATAGGCGAAAAAGGCACGGTATCGGTACACAGCGAACGGTGGAGGAGAGTTCACCCAAGCATGGCAAAACACTTTCATTACCCATTTCAGGCTTGCACAGTATTTTGATGTGTACATCATTGCTTACACAAAATTCCACTGCCTTGCAAAGGTGAAATTGGAGCACCGCGACAACGAGAGTGAGAGTGTTAGCCAATGAGAAAAACGTGAATGAAGTTAGATTACCGAACGTGATGAAAAGATGCCATACCTCGACAAGAAAGCAGTCCATGATTCGATTCGCTATTTCTATAGGCAAAGTGGTGGTAAAAAGTGTCAGAAACCAAGATGAAGCGTACATCGACGTGTCGAAGCCCATATTATTGAAGTGAGTATAGAGATCGGGCATCTGAAAGCAGTTGCATTTCCTCGTGCCGGGCTTTCGGTTGAAGACATGCAGCAAAATTCAAGATCATAAAGTTGGGTCGAGAAAGTATGCGCATGATTGTATGATGACGAGACGTATGGTCTATGAATGAACCCGTTTTCTCAGGATATCTTAAAAGAAAACTGCCAAAGGCAGCGATTACAATACGTTCTGGAGACGATTAGAGGGGATGAGGGCTTCATATGGTCGACAACAGCGAAAAGCAGAGAGATACGTCAAGAAAATGGGACCCCCTTGTTTAGCCGTTGATTTTTGCCCAAGGACGGGTGCGGCTAAAATGGCAGACGTACGAAGAGGAGTTTACCGCAACGCAATTGGGCAGCATGCCTATCCATGCCCCAGTTGTGCAGCTGCTGGCAACATAGTTCGCCTAAGTCACCAACTAAACTAGTGAGTAAAATGCCTAGAGAACGTTTTCAAGTACTGCTCAGCAACCAGCGCACCGGAAATGCAAGATACGAGGACGATATTATAACTGTAAAACGCACTGTATCCAATAAACGAAGAAAACGTACCTGTTCTTGGACCAAACACTCCAGCTGGAACATACACAGACCAAGATCTGTCATGGCCGGTTTGTACAGCTCACGCAGGCGATAATTTTCCATCAGACGGACTATAACGGCAAACGCTTCTTCTTCAGGCATCTAAAACGAAAATTTACAAGCGATAAACATGACCGCTAATATGCGACTTAAATCATGGTTGGAACAGATTTTAGGGGATCTTACCTGCATGAGCAGTAGCCCAACAATGAAAGCACTACCCTGACAGTAACCAACTTCTTTGTCGTGAATTGAATATGCCTAAATACAAATGTTCACTTTGTAGGGCAAGATACTTGACATGTATACATCGCGAGAATAGCGTGCCTTTTCCAATATATTGAGGGAAATAATTTGAAATGTTCATTCTGCTAACCTTGATAACGTTGAAGAGCGATGCTTGACCACGACCACCGTCCTTAAAAAATTCCATTTCAGGGTACGTTCGTGGAATATCTCGTTGGATGACCTGAACATATAAACATGACAAATTTCTACAATGACTCAACAGATGGGCCTAAATTATGATGACAAACATTACGCCGTCAAAAACGGTAGTAGCCAGATGGAACACAAAACTACAATAAAGTGTTTAGCACTCATATAGCAAAGCAAAACTAGATGAGAATAGAGATCTGCCACCTACTGTGCACATATGGGCTCAAAGACGAAGGGAGAAAGCGTGTGCGTTGGAACGATGGTCGTCAAAATGACTCCGACTTTCTGCTCCGTCTTTTCAAGGGAAAAAGCGTAAAGGTAGGATTAAGTTGCCATCTCTGCTTTCTCGCCGCGCGACGGGCCATGAAAATTTTAAATATCAGAGAGCATCTATATCGCGGAATGTGGTACGACGGTCTTCTGCCCTCATAAGAAAGAGGATGCCCAGTTACTCGAAAAATTTAAGATAATTTCACTCGAAAGCTATTTATTAGGGCTGGTGATGCTACTTACGCTCGTGTGCCTTAACCGAATTCCAGAAATAGAAGTCACCAATTGCATAGTTCAAGATCTCATAGAAAGGTTATGACGCTTGTATGGTGTTGAAGTTGTTATTCGGTATTGCCCGAGTGATGCATCCAAATTTTATGTCAAGGCAGTATCTAGAACCAGATGAGGGCCTGAGATAATTTCATATGCAACGCCAAGATCTAACATGAAGCTCTATAGCTTCACCTGTCGTGCGGGGTCTACATATGCTTCTCTTAAATCAAATGTAGCACTCGTCACTCCCACTTTTGTGCTTTTCACGCCTAGCCGAGAAAAATGTGTTGAGATATAGCTAGCTTATCTATAAGGAAAGATTGTTGTACTGTTGCTCATGTATCGTTATTTCCCACGACCACGACTGCCTTATGCGCGGTTTCAAATAAATAAATAAATCTACGGTATTCACAGCACAATTGGAGGGAGTGAAGGCCTGTTCACAATGAGGCGAGCGTGTCCTCAGAAGGGCAGCATTTTTACAAACACTCATATTCCGGTTACAGAGATTCAGAAACAGGGGAAAGTATTGATGTTGGAAATGGGAAAGTGTAAAAAAAATAAAGTTTGGCGAAGGAAAAGCCGAGCGTGAACGGAAGGTTGACAAGTGGGTGTGGTTCACTAGGACAAAAAAGCCACTTTTTTGCATTCCGCAACGCGAAACATTTTTCGCTGCGAGAACCTCGCGCCCACAGATGATCAGCGGTGGACCTGAGGTTCCCGCAGCGAGTGCGAAACGCAAAAAAGTCGCTTTCTGTCCTCGAGAACCACACCCTTGACAAGTTCTTTAGCTTACCTTTTCATATACGGATGATTGTCTCATGTAGTCGGAGTACACTTCATGAATCGAAGAAACGGACGCATTAGACAACAGTTGCCAGGCTATGGTCCGAAAATGTTGAGGGATTCCACGCTTCACCAACGCCTGCAAACAGTTTCAGCTTACCCTTCATATAATAAGTTGCGCGGCAGGTAAAATCATATTTATTAAACAGAAATTTCCTTCTCAGCTCCATGTTCTTGTAACAAGCATGGTGTTTACTTTTCACAGTAGAGCTTGTTTTCCTTCTATCGATACGAGCTAGGTTGGATTCCAGGCTAGCGGAGTAGGAGAAAGGGAGGTCCAGTCGAAAGAATTTGTAGACCGGTAACTACCCAAAGTCAAATTGGTCCTTACTCACAGTTGTATGAGAGAAACCAACAAAGTTCAAATGCCAGAATCAATAAATCTGACAATTTTCAGCAATTTTAATGCTTATTACCTTACATTACCAGTGAACGCCAGTAATCGGAATTAAGTTGACCCTAACAATTATCAGACAACCTGAAATAATAATGGAAAAAATTACCCTTCTAATAAAAAGGCGAGATCTACTGCAACATACACACTATCCACTATAGAGTAAGCAAGCTGCCCAGAAAAAATACAAGGAAGAAATCAGTGAAACTTTTAATATGAACTGAAAGGTATGCTGTGGTAAGGTACCTCCGTAACTAAAGTGTAATGCAATTCCGAATTACCTTGATTGTGGCCGGATTCTTCTTTATTTCGTGCTCCCAGTTTCGAATCACATCGCTCCAAACACTCCAAAGGTCCTCATCGTCATCTTCGGGGGCTGGACTTGGCTCGCCACCCCTAGCGCTGTCACTTGAGCCGCTTTTTCGAGACGTCGCACTTCTAGCGTCTCCTTCATTGGACCTAGAAAATATTTATTGCAAAAAAGGTGATGTAATAGCTGAAACATACATCACTCTGAAGATATGCAACATTTGAAAGCGAACAAGTGGGTTAACCATCGTGAAGCTTAACACTCCTCACTAAATGTGCACCAGATTCTACTCAAACCCTTAATTGGCTTTTCGCAACGACTATTTAGTTTGTGGGTCAACTAAGCGATGATTTAGTACTCCTAGTGACTGGGGCAACTAGCCAACAACTTTGTTGTAGGGCGTCATTCGTTGCGGGACCCTGTGCCTCAACACAGTCCCACGGAAACTGAAATTGCCTTTTTACACTGAATCAATGATAAGTGGATGTATGACATCTGAAGGAGTTTTAGTTCTTACTGTGTCGTCCTTTAAAGCTAGTTTTTACATAAAGATTTGTGGGAGTGGTGTTAACCTAACTGGAGGGGGGGGGGAAGGAGAGAGGGGACCGCGCGGCGGCGCGCGCTCTATTCGTCGCAGCTCTGAAGCTTAGTCATGGGGTCGATTACTACTTCGGCGAACCGTGGAAGTTTTGAAATACAATAGCATCGTGGACCAATTTTTGAAGAGGGAGACGGAGGAGATAGCAGCGCGCCCCCCCCCCCTCCCGCACAACAAAATTAGCACCGTGGGAGGTTCTGCACTACTTGCCAAATTACTATTATATGGATAAAGCGTAGCTGACATCGAGGGAACTATGCCGCCTCCATAGTTATCCAACTGAGAAGCGATAGAATAAATTGCTTACTTTCGCTGGCCGCATAGGATGGGATACGATCAGGCTTATAACCTATCTGTCGGATTTTTAGGCAATCGACATAAGCAGGTGTCAACCACACTTCCCGAAGCAAGGTTGCTACAATTGCAGAATCACTAATGCAGAAGATGCACTCACCGCTAAACGTGCTCCTATGAAATCTGATACCAAGCGCGCTACCGTATCTGCATTCATATCCCAACTTACGGGCAACAAAGTGTACTTACTGACACACACGTACACCCGCTGCGAGTTGGAAACTTTCACCAGACTATCAAATGCCAGCATCTTTACCAATTGAATAGTTGAACGATTCCTGCACGATTTCAGACATAGAGTAACAGACATAGGAGCTGTCATATCTTCGAAGATTTTGTGAATTACGCGATCCCAGTGGATCATCGCGAACCTTTGCCCCTGTGTCACGATTTGAAGGAGTTGGGGAACCTTTGAGTTTATCAGCATATTTCTACTTATTAAATCTAAGAATCTGTATCAATAAATTATTCACAGTCAGCAGAAGTTACGTTATCCTTTGTCATGAAAGATGTCTATTGCGTCGATACCCTCCCGAAATAAAACATGTCGCAGCCTGATACCTAGGAACTTTACGCTTCTTCGCAATACGCGTTCCATATATAATACCAGTGTCATTACGGCCTATTCCGGACGTTGACCCACACCAATATCGAAAGCCTCAAGAAAGGCATCTGATCCAAGCCGAACTCAGACATAACAGACCCTTGGGAACCTGTCCCACCCTAAGGCCGATGTCAGACTTTGTTCGCGCGCGATTCGCTAGGTCTGCGGTCGCGTCGCGGCCAGTGAATCACGTCAATTGGCTGGTACCGCAATCGCTAGTAAGCGAATCGCGCGAATTCGCAAAATTTGACTCCGGCCTAAAGGCATGTGTGCTCTATCGCACTGGCGGCCAGTTGTTACATGTTTCAAGACGACACACGCTGAACAGTTATCAGCGTAGTGTAGTGGCTTAGGCCATAACTAATACGTGGCAATTCAATGTTCTTGCAACATGAAGTAAAAACGGTAGGAGAGGGTTACGGTGGACATCTGTGGTTACGCAACCGGACAACGTCGACTGTGCGGAAAATAGTGGCACCATTAGAAATGTTAGAGAGAACTGACCTATTGAATTGCTCCATTTTGATGAGTACATTACCTCAGGATCGAGAGATTGATGTGACAGATTGACGGTAAAACACTGCTCGGCGTTGGGTTCGCTTGTCTCTTGAAAAACAAAGCTGAGCAAAACATCGATGAAAACCACTGACCGGTGAAAGCCGCTTGCTTAATCACAAAGTATGGACGTACAACTCACCACAACTCAACTAAGATTGCCGAAAAATTCTTTTTGTGAATTGAATTAGAAGGAAGAGTAAGTTAAAATTTTTACAGAGCCTCAATCAAGTGCAAGAAACGTATGGCTATGGAAACGATAATCTTTCAGATCATTTGTTCTACGCTACAATCGCAGGCGTCTAATAAACGCACCAGTGTTGGTTGCACACACGGCATAATTCCCCACCAGATCTCCACTATATCGCCGAAGATGGAATACCTAGCATGGGGATCAACTTGAAGACGAGATGAACTTCACGAGATTTCAAACGGTCGCGTCACGGCTTTTTGCATTTTTGGCGCATTTTCGTTCCGCTTAGCAAAACAAGGGCTTCATCTGAGTTAGCAGAGCAACAGCTGGAGATTCAGGAAATGTTCGGAATAATTTCTCGCTATCACCACATCTGAACACTGCTTGTTCATCGGCCGCTGATACTTCGAAATTCAGGACCACAGGTGATAGAACTTCAATGTCCCTGATTGGGATAGCACTATCATTCTCCAAGGTGCTGTGGTATTTCTTCTCTTACTCGCCGGCTGAATACTTAATATTGAAATGTCTTTCGCAAAGAGAACAGACGAGTGCGAATTCAGTGGTTTCAAAGCCAAACCCCATCAGCGCAAGGCGGACGCATAGTCGGTGGACGCAGCGAACGGACTGCAAGTGTCGCACAGCATTGGATGCGTATCGATCGTCGGACTTGCCTGAGTATTCGACGATTAGATGCAGTCAGGAAGTGCAGACAGTGTGCGAGCGCGTTGCTGTCGGGACGGACCGACTATGCGTGCGCCCAAACTTCTGCAATTCGTCAGTTTCTCGTACACGCTCTCCCCTTTTCGAGCATTCACGTACATGGTCAGCGAAGGTGACAGAGATGCTGCTGTGAGCGGGCTTGGGGCAAAATGCTTTTTGAAGGCGAAAAAAGCACTTTCAAATCGAGAAGGTAGCATATCCGCGATCTTGGTGTATAGTCCTATCTTACTGAACAAATGGATTATTCACCTCAACTCATCGTGTGGAGTGTCTTTAAGGCACACGTGATAGCGACTTTTTCGTCGGAGTCATCACCACGCGGGCCACGAGAACTCCCACGTAGTGGAATATAAAGTCTAGCTGAGGCATACATTCTAAGCTAATTATGCATTGCAAATTTGTAACAAAAAACGTATATGGACCAATTTCGAGCTTTTATGATACCTTCAAGTTCTGAGGTTGTTGACGGTTGCTATGACAGCTGCGACATCAATCACGCCAAGAAGGGCGCATGCATAGTTGATCGTTACGATCGGACGACCAACTATGCATGCGCCCTAGAAGATGATTATTCTCACGAAGCTCGACCGCAGGAGCGAATGTTTGAAAGAATTTATCACATTGAAGAACACGCGTGAAAACGCCGAATTGAGAGCTGATTCAACGACTGCTGCTGACAATTCTATACAACTGACCATTTCTGTGGAGCACATGAAATGCTGGAAGATTCAATGTCTTAGATGAATACATGTCAGGAATAGACAAGAGAACGGAGAGTTCGTAATTTTAAGTGCAATGAGGGATAGTGGCGAGTTCTCGCTATGCGTCACTAATAAAACACACTAGCCAAACACGGCGGACCGTATCGATCAATACCACAGCGTTGCAAGGTCGTCGAAATCGAGAACATTGTATGGCATTAACGGGTTAAAGGCGGCGCACGGTGAACACAGTAGACTTCAACATCATTGAAAACCTATGCAATACTGATGTCGCAGGTGTCTGTCACATACAAGCATATGCTCATAAGGGTGAGGAAATCTAGCCAGGAAATCCAGTTCGTCTCACCTAGCACTCAGAAACGCTAATTGCTCCGCTCAAGTCAAGCTGTTATTCGCTTTTCCTCGGAGTTGGTATATTCAGGTTGAACAGCAATGCAGACTTATTATGTTCCAACAGTCCAATTTCTATGGCTGGTGTCAGAGTCCGCGATCCGTCGCAGGTTTCGCGTGATTCGCGCAGATCGCAATTGCAAGTGCCCCATTTGAACATTTGAATTACTGAATATGAAACAAGTACAATCAGGAACAGTCGCCATTCAGCCATTACCATCAAGCAGAAATGGCTGCGGGATTGAAGAGCACCTCGCAGTATTGATCGAGCAATTGTGATTTCTATGACCCGTCGTGCGAATCGCGTGGAACCTGCAACGGATCGCGGACTTTGACTTCAGCCTATAGGTTTTCAATGTCCCAGTGGGTTCAGTGCAAGGGGAAAAGCTCCGATTTTCTGACTACGGTTGGCGCAAAATGAATGTAAGTGAGGACGAGCCGGGTGCAGAAAGCCCCAACGAAGGGATTTGGACCCATCCCCTCACCCAACTAGAGATGAATCCCCTCACCCATGTCCCCAGCCTCGGGGATATATCCCCAACCACAGGAACATATCCCCTCGCCCCAACTAGGAGATGAATTCCCTCAGGAACAAGAGACCGCCCAAGGGCTCCGTCACCCCAACATTTTCGAGGGGTCCTATGACGCGACCATGCGGAACGGTCATTGCCCCGACCCTCTGCGTCTCTGCAGGCAGGGGATATATTCCCCTAGCCGAGACCGAGGAGATCGCCCCCGACGATGGCGACGCAGAGAATTGACGGTGGGTGGGGTGGGGGGAGTCCCCATCCTCTCGTCAGGGCTTGCTGCACCCGGCCTATGACGTGACGAGACGCTACAGATTAACTCACACATTCCAGCTTTTCAAAGTGTCCCCCAACAGGCCCACCGCGCGGCGAAGCAAGAGACGCGGATGCGGCAAAGAGACGAGTTGCAGCGCGTGCTGTGCAATATAAGACGTAGTATGGTACACTCTCTTTAACCTGACGCCTAACCGCCATGCGTCTCTTGCTTCGCCGCGCGGTGGGCCTGTTGCAGGAGACCCGCTTTTCAAGCATATCAAGTGACTGCCCTCACCCCTCCTCCCCCCCCCCGAATTGGCTTCATTCTCCCTAGCTCTCGAATTCCCTCGATTCTCGTGACCGGAGCAGTCCGCACGTCAATCCCCTTCAAAAAGCGAGAAAGTGTCTTGTGCAGTGCACCACAGGTGACGACGACCTTCACAAAATGTTAATGCTTTATGCCAATGAAATGATCAGCCTGTTACAGTTGTATTCTATCGATTGTCACTAATTACAACTATCATTTACTAAATCAGCTATCACTATGAACAACTTCTAACCAGATTCACTTGGAGGCCGTCGTCAGTTGTGGTGTTTGTTCTGCACCCGACACTTTTTCGCCTTTTGAAGGGAATTACATGCATTTCGCGCCTACCGTGTTCAAGAAGTCAGCGAGCCTTTCCCACTTATATTGCACCGTGAATGCTATCCAAAGAGGAAGAGTGTGATCGGCCCATACCTAGACCCTAAAAAATTATCGGACGATTTTCCCAAAGTTGTAACGACAAAGCGCGATGTCGCCACGCAGTGAAATGGTTGGAAGGGTCATGCTACAGAACCATCGCTGAGCGACATTACGGGAAAGCTCAGCGGTGCGGACGTGTTGCGTGCTGGTGACGTCACAGGCGGGGCCCGGCCATGCGCGGCGAGCGAAGAGCAATGGACAGCGCTGCCGCTGAAGCCATTGTCGGGGACTTCGGCGACTAGCACTAGCGATTTTCGCGATTCGCCAAAATCACTGGTGCCACTCGCCAGAATCGCTGAAATCACTGAAGTGGCCGATGTCAGACTTTGCGATTGGAGCGATCTTGCACCAATTGCAGGAGCAACGGATGCTTTAGCGATGGGATTTACACCGCCTAATACCGATACACACGGCGCCGCTCGGGTAAATCTCCCGTCGCTCGCATCGCTTGAGCGATCCGTCGGTCCTGCAATTGGTGCAAAATCGCTCCAATCGCAAAGTCTGACATCGGCCAATCGCCCACATCGCAAATTAATGCCCCACGGCCGAACATGTGCAGGGGTTGCGTAGGGGTGTGTGGCACGGTCAACAATCGCGTCTGCTTTTCAAAACATTCATGATCCCTTCCCTCCTAAAGAGTTCCCAGTACGAACCCCCTCCTGTTGTTGTTTGGTTAGTGGACTGGCGCATAAAATTTACATCAAATTCAAAGGTTCCAAGACATTGTGGCTGCGTCGCGGCGTTAGCCTAGGAGCGCGCCAGGTTTTGTTCAGGCAATGAGAGAGTGGCGCGTGTTAACGAAAAAAACGGGCACAACATTATTCGGATCATACGGTCGATATCTCGAAGTCTGAGTGGGCGTGTCACCGGAAATGACGTGGCAGCCACCGCACTTGATAGAAGTTGAGTGGATAAGCTGCTTCCAACGCGTTTGCTGATATATGGCGGAGTTTCATCCAGACTACATCTATCAAGTACGGTGGCTTCCACGTCATTTGCGGTGACACGCCCAATCAGACTTCGAGATATCGATATAGTGCTTTCGAAGTCCTACCAAACGGCGCAACCAGCGCATCCTTTGTCGTGGAAGCGTCACACCTCACTTCCCTGGCATCAAGTAACTGATTCGTGTGGTGCACATGCTTCACCAATGCGCTCAATCTTTAATCGCTGCCTTTAAGGTTACATAACAGGTCGGAGGGTTCTGCGGGGGGAAGCAGAGAACAGGGGTTCAGCGTGCGTTGAGGATATCCTCGAATGTCACAGAGGGGGGGGGGTCGTATTGGCGCCCGGCTGGGGAGAGATCCGAGCCCGATTGATACAGGTAGGATATCGTCGGGAGGACAAATTAAGTTCGCAATCGTAGCAGGCCAGGAGTTGTTTACATAAATTTGTTCCTTAACACAAAATC